CCCGCTCCCTCAGCACTGACCCTCCAACAGCGCCCGCTCCCTCAGCACTGACCCTCTGACAGTGTGGCATTCCCTCAGCACTGACCCTCTGATAATGCGGCGCTCCCTCAGCCCTGACCCTCTGATAGTGCACACCCACCTCAGTGCTGACCATATGGGACAGGCTGAAGGACAGGACTGAATGGCCTCCTGTTCCTGCATTAACAGCTCAAGGAGGGCCTGAAATGGCCTCCTGTTCCTTGGGAACAGAGTTAGAGAGGTGTTGGGCAATACCATGAGATTTTTATTCGAGCCTTTGTTAGCTTCACTATAGAAAAGCATGCAGCCTTCCACTGCTGAACAGCAGCTCTGGCATCTTGAGTCTCTGGATTTGAACTCCTAACACCAGGACATGCAGGATGCAGACATGGCTATGGTGCTGGAGCTGTGTGTTTCGACACCCACACAGGGGGGACTGCAACTAGGCACCACCCCCCAGGATAAAAAGAGTGCCCCTTATGAAAGGTGAGGCCAATTTTCATTGAAGACCCCCCTCCTCCATCAGGAGGACACTAGTGCCCCTTTGCTCACCTTCCTTCCCTGTGGAAGGGAGAAAAAAATAAATCAGTGTGCATCCTTCCTTGATCAAATTGCCAGTTTTGCAGCTGAGAGCTGGGCAGAGCCTGTGTTCAAGCAAGAGCTCTGGATTGGACCTTGTTGAGCTCAGGGACTGTTCTGACAGGTGTTTGCTCCCCTGGTTTGGGTGAGGGGGGTGGTGGTGTGGGGGTATTTTGCATGGAATTGGTGAGGCAGGGAGGGGTGTGGAGGCTGCGGCATTTGTGCAGGTCATGTCCAAATTGAAGCCACTCCAGCCCAAACCTCGTTCTGCAAAGTATGGGGGGCTGTCGTTGGGAATTGGGATGCATTTGTGGGACTTGGGGATGGGTTTTGCAGCCGAGTGAAACTGGCTTCCACAGTCGAATAGCGTGCTGGGTGTGCAGGGGCTGAGAAGCTCTGTCTGAGGCTGCCTCTGTCCCTCCCCTCCACAAGGTGGAGGATGAGGGTGAGTGAGTAAGGAGAGAGGAAGAGAGTGAGGGGTGGGAGGACAGTGAGGGGATGGAGGAAGGGTGGGGGCGGGGAGGGAGGAGTGGAGGTGTGAGTAATGGAGGGGTTATGGAAGGGGGAGGGGGAGGGGGTAGTGAAGGGAGGGACAGAGACGGGTGGGGGAGGGGCAGAGAGAGGAGCTCTATCTGAATCTCTGTCCCTCCCCTCCAAAGGGAGGAGTTGAGGAGTGGGGGAGTGAGGAAAGGAGTGAGGGAGGAGCTCTCTCTGATTCTGTCTGTGTCCCTCCCCCAACCCCGCACAGGGAGGAATTGAGGAAGTGATTGAGGAGGGGAGTGAGGGGGGAGCTCTGTCTGATTCTGTCTGTGTCCCTCCCCCCCCTGTTGAGGGAGTGATTGAGGAGGGGAGTGAGGAGGGAGTGAGAGGGGAGTGAGGGAGGAGCTCTCTGTCTGATTCTGTCTGTGTCCCTCCCCCCCCTTGTACAGGGAGGAGTTGAGGGAGTGATTGAGGAGGGGAG